AGTGCAGTGGTGCGATCTCGGCTCACTGCAACCTCCAACTCCAAGGTTCAAGCTATCCTTCTGTCTCAGCCTCCCGAGTAGCTGGGATTACAGGCGTGAGTCACCGTGCCTGGTGACAACTTTCAACTCAAACCCACAGACAGACCCCCCAGCGCGGGTCCCGAAGTGCCGCTGGCGCCAGCCGAACCGCCTCCTCGGCGCCGGTCCGGGGTTCAGGGAGGCAGCACCAATATCTGGCCTCTGCCGCCATCGTCCCTCCGCCCCCCGAGGGTCGCCCCTGTAAGTGACCTCAAAGCGTCGGGGGTGGGCGTGGCCGCCGGCGGGCGTTGAGAGAACCCGGCGCAGAGAGGATCACCGAGCTCCCGACAGGGCGGGGCCAGGTGTGTGAGGGGCGGGGATTGGGCCAGGAGGGGCGTGTCCGGACTGCTGGCTGAAGTGGCGCGCTACTGGACGCGCCACTGAAAGTCCCTGCGGTCCCGGAGGCGAGCAGAAGGTATGCCGCGAGCCGGGCCGAGGTGGTGAACATGGTCGGCTTGTGGTTCCCACGGACCAGTCCCGCCCGACTCCGGGCCGGATCTCGAGTGGGCACTCAACGGGGTCCGGGGAGAGACAGTTAACTTTGTTCAGCAAATATTTAACCGATGCCTACTTTTAATTAGAGATTGTCTCCGCTGGCGGGAGGCTCAGAGACAGCCTGTGTCCTCTTTCTTCACCTGAAAGAAACCCAAATTTCAGACAATTAAGAGAGGTCTAAGTTAAAAATAATAAATATAATTTCTTCCTACTGGCCAGATACTATGCTAAGCCCTTTTTTTAATTATTATTTTTTATTTTTGTCGCCCAGGCTGGAGTGCAATGGCGCGATCTTGGCCAGTTGGATCGAGTATTTTCCTAGCTATACAGACCTAGTCAAAGAACGTATCTGTTTGCCAACGTAATTGTCAAGTAATATATATTATCTATATAATGGACATCTAAAAATCATTGCTGTTTCTGACCAGTCTAAACTTGTTGCCAGAGGGTTGAAAATCATGACTACTGGCCAGTCACGGTGCCTCACGCCTGTCTGTAATCCCAGCACTTTGGGAGGCCGAGGTGGGCAGATCACAAGGTCAGTAGATAGAAACCATCCTGGCCAACATGGTGAAACCCCATCTCTACTAAAAATACAAAAATTAGCTGGGCGTGGTCGCGCACACCTGTAGTCCCAGCTACTCAGGAGGCTGAAGCAGGAGAATCTCTTGAACCCAGAAGACAGAGGTTGTAGTGAGCTGAGATTGCGCCACTGCACTCCAGCCTGGGGACAGAGTGAGACTCCGTCTCAAAAGAAAAAAAAAGACTACTTCATGTATAGAAGTTTTCACTGGCATTTAATGCTTTGTGAAATAGATTCCAACTAGTCAGTGTCTGTAAGGAGAACCCTTCCAATATACTCCTTGAAAAGAATAGTTCACTGGACATATGAAGTTAGCACTAATGTTTGGAGCAAGAAGAGCTTGTTGTAGTGTGGAACAATGAATTAAGAATCAGAAAGCCTGATGTTGGGTTCTAGCTGTAGCATAAATGTGCTTGACCCTGATCACTGGTCTCTTAATCTCTGGTCCTTAACTTACTTTAGAATATGTGAGTTGGAGGATCTCCAATATTTCTTCCAGGACCAAAAAGTAAAGGATTCTGATGAGTCCTCATGGTTGCAAAACATAAGAGTAAATATACTTAAATATATAGAGAAGTTCATAGTAGATAGATATACTTGGATTTTTTAATTCAGTTGCCTTACTCAATATGTTACCTTTTTCACTCGATAAATATTGAGCTTCTACCATGTGGCAGGCACCAGTCTAGGTATTTGGATGTTTAATAGGCCTTGTAAGTACAAGACAACTTTCATGGGGTTTTTTTTTGTTTTTTTTGGGGTGGGGACAGAGTCTCACTCTATTGCTAGACTGGAGTGCAGTGGTGCGATCTCGGCTCACTGCAACCTCCAACTCCAAGGTTCAAGCTATCCTTCTGTCTCAGCCTCCCGAGTAGCTGGGATTACAGGCACGCACCACCACGCCTGGCTAATTTGTATTTTTAGTAGAGATGGGGTTTCACCATGTTGGCCAGGATGGTCTTGATCTCCTGACCTCGTGATCTGCCCACCTTGGCCTCCCAAAGTGCTGGGATTACAGGCGTGAGTCACCGTGCCTGGTGACAACTTTCAACTCAAACCCACAGACACACACACCCTCAAGTCTACTGGTCCTGTAGTTTTCACCATTCCAGTAAATGGCAGCTCTTTTCTTCTAGAAAAGAGCTTTTTTGGCCTTCCAAAGTGTTGGGATTACAGGTGTGAGCCACTGCGCCCGACGTACCAAATCCATTCTTTAAGCAAGTCATGCTGGCTCTGCATTCAAAAT